TTCTCTTCTTTAAGTTGGGGCAATAATTCCTTCCACATAGGCGTTTTGAGGACTAAATGACATTGTGTGTATAAAGTGGTAAGCATAATGCCTGGAGCTAGTTAGACATGAACATTAGTTGTCATTACATTGTCCAGCCAAATCACCCCAGAATAAGTTTTTCTACTGTCCTAGGCTGCACCTACACACAGCTGACTCACACCTTTTTATGTCTAGCCCAGAGCACCCTCTGCTCCATATCCTTACTGCAGGCCACCTGCTTCAACTTCAAATATAACACCTTCATCCCTACTCCAAATCCATTCTTCCTTCCTCCGTCTCAATGTGCAGTTGTCCAAGCCAGAAGCCTGGGAGCCATCAAAGACTTTCCTCTCCTTTCCACCACATTTTGTTGGTCACTAAGTGACATGAGTGTCACTTATTTAAAGAGATTCCAGGTTATGGAATTCTCCATATTCCCACAGCTCCAATCCAGACCACACCTGTTGCCTGGTCTACTGTCAGGTCAGATCCCTTGCCATTCCTTCCAACAGGAAAGCCTTCTTTCATCTCTCAGTCCACCCAGTAAACTCCTGTTTATCTTTCAAGCCCCAGCTAAGGTATCACTTCTTCCAAAGTCCTATTTCTAACCCTCTGCTTTCTCCTGCTGGGTTGGACCTCAGTCAGCTTTGCCACTGTAAGCCTGCCTCTGTTACAGCTCTTCTCTCAGTGTTTCACGTGAGGGTTCCCATGCCAGCAAGCTCCTGGGCAGGGGATTTCATTTTATTCATCTTTAAACCCACTTGGCACTTGGACTGCTAATAAATATTTGGTGAATTAAATTTACTTGAATTTTCCAAAAAGTCGCTCTCTTCCTTTCAGTGATTCTTCAGAGATATAGCCAGCTAATAGTTTCAAAGGTTTCCTTGGATACTACTGATAAGAGCTGCTATTTCTTCAGCATCTACTGTGTATCAGGTACTATAGTAAATGCTTATGTACATTAACTCATTTAATCCCATAAACTGGTTCTAGTGCTATCCCTATTTTACAGTGGAGTATTCTGAGGCTTATCTAGCTGATAAATAGCCAAGCTAGGATTCAAACCCAGGGCTGCTTGTGTCTCTCCAAATCCATGCTCTACCCTTTATCTGTGAACTGAGATCTACTTGTATTCTCATCTTGACCATGGTTGTCTAGCAGTCTTTTTTTCTTTTTTTTTTTTTTCTGGCCGCTGGCCAGTACGGGGATCCAAACCCTTGACCTTGGTGTTACAAGGCTGTACTCCAACCGAGTGAGTCAACTGGCCAGCCACTAAGAAGTGCAGTCTTATTGCACATTTGATCCATATGCCTAGACTGAATTCTCTTAAGGATAATCTCCATTTTTATTTGAGCCCATCCTTCAGTGGTATTTTCCTAAACTGCCCAGGACCAGGGAGAGCAAGTACAATTAGATAAGTCCCTTTCGCTTGACTCCCTCCCCTGATTCCCTAATGATTGGCACTTTTATGCCACATTTTCTCACTAGAGAGAAAAGTTTGATCCCAGACATTTGCTAAACACTGAGTTAAGACTAAAAGTTCTCTGCCCCCCATGAGCTCACAGTGTACCAGGGAGACAGCACACACACATTCTGACTACAAAACTAGGAGTGAAGTAAAAGGAGCACCGAGCTCAAAAGTCTGAAAGACCTGGGTCCAAATCCAATTTCATATCTGCAGTTCCAAAATCTAGAAAGCTCTGAAAACTGACAGTTTTTCCATGACTCATTTAGAGATAAAACCTGATGTAAGGTGAGGTTTTTATATGGTCTTTATTCATCCCAACTTACTGTGATATTCATACATTTTGCTGTAGAAACATTAATGTGTCTGGTTACAGGGTGCTGCCTCAGCCCCCACCAGGGGTGTAGATAATACATGGTTTTGAACTTGAGTTCATCTGGCCCCAGGAGTGAGCCTATGTCTTGTCCTGATCAACTGAAAAAAAATGTATGAAGAGACTTCATAAGCTAAAAAACAACAAACTCACATGAGATGGTCTTATGGCAATAGTCACCCCTTCTGTATGATGGGAGCACCAAGCAAGTGATTTTTCTTTCAGGGCCAGGAAGACGGTCAAAAGACATCTCAGGGGAGAAAAAAATTTGAGCTGGGTCTTGAAGAGTGAATTGAATTTCTCAATTTGTGGAGGAGCTGTGGAAAAGAAATTCTGGGCTGAGGGAAGAGCGTGTGGTAAATGTGCAGAAAAAATGTCTGTAAGCAGCTTGAGCACATGGACTTTGTGAGCTTACGAAAAAACTCTCACTATCTGTTAAAATGCAGGAGTACAGATAATACAAAGGGGCAGCTAATCCAAAATCCACTTGCTCTGGGCAGGATTTTTCTTTGGAATGCAAACTTAGACATATGTTCACAGAGAAACATCACTGTCTCAGCTGACACACCTCCCTGCTTAGTCTGGTGGGGAGACACTCCCTCCATCTCCCCATAAGGCAGGTGCAGCAAGGATCAGCCCACACACCAGTCCAGGCCGGTGCTCATTTCGCTGCCCTCTGCTTGGTCTGGGGTCAGTCCCTTACCAGCTGGTTTCTCTAGCATCAGACTGCCAGGTTCAAATCACTTCTGCCACTTACTACTTTTAGTGGCCTTGAGCAAGTTATTTACCTCTTTTGTGCCTTTGTTCCTCAGCTCTAAAAGCAGAACAATAGTATGAAAGCTATTGTAATATTATGAAAGCTGGCACACAGAGCACTTAGCAGAGTGCCTGACAAACAGTAGTTATTACTATTACAAGGACTCCCGCTCCTCCAGCTATGTGTAAATACATACATTCCTTAACACTTATTTTTAAAAGCCTTTACTTTACTCTTTCTGCCCCTGGTCATCAACTCCTTTCTAGTTAACCATTTTCTATAGAGTTTGTTGGTTTTTTGCAGCCATTTCTCGGTCATGGTGAGACATGGCCTCCCTTACTTTGGTCACGATCCAATGCAGGGATTCTCAGCTTGGGGTCTCCAGATCCTCAGGGGTCTAGTAGGCATTTGGGGAAATTTGCAAGCTAATTTCAGGAGGCTGATGTAGAGCAATGTAAATAAGAGCACCAATTTTGAAATTAGATAAACCCTGCCACTTACCAGTCACCTTATCCTGTGTAAGCTTCATAATCTCTAGGAGCCTGTTTCCCACTTGATAGCATGGGAATATTAATACTCTCCTCACAGAAGTGTTACATCTTCATTTAGAATATGTATTTAAAGCCCTTAGCACAGGACCTGATGTGTAATAAATACCTCATATATTCTGCCACCGTTATTTCCAATAGTACAAAATATTTCTTGCAAATCACACTCTTTCCCTAAGACCAAGCCTGAGGTATAATTAAAAGGTTGGATTTCTGCAGGAAGTGAGTGGAATTACATTAGCTCAGTGTGGTGATACTGCTGCCTAATGCTTAAGAACCTCTGGTTGGCAGTTATATGTGTCTTTGGTAAGTAAAAATGAGAATTATTACTTAAATACATTTGGGCAAAGAGAAGCATTGCAAACATGAAGCCTTTGGGGTTTGGAGAAAGAGAAGGAGTCTCTGATCATTAAAAAGTCATAGGAGTTCAGTTCCCTGTAACAGCCAGCCACCCACCCAAAAAAAACAAAAAAGTCACAGGTCCCACATGTCCAGTACGCTGATCAGTGCTATGTGGTTGGCACATCTTTTAAAAAAAAATTTTTTTTAATAAAAGTAACACATCGACACTGTCACTAGGCCTCCCTTAAAACCTCTCTGGTAGGGGCCGGCCTGGTGGCGCACCGGAGAGTGCGCTGCTTGGGAGCGCGGTGGTGCTCCCGCCGAGGGTTCGGATCCCATGTGGAGACCGGTTCCCGCTCACTGGCTGAGCGTGGTCCGGGTGCAACACCGAGGGTTGCGATCCCGTTACCGGTCAGTAGAAAAGACAAAAAGGAATAAAAAAAAAACCTCTCTGGTAGGTTTTGCCCATTTAGCAGAATTTCAGTGGGATAAAGATACTAGTACCATCACCATGGTGTCCAGGGCCCACCATGAGCAAAGGGGTCATCACAGACTGAAAATGGGATGGAGAGGCTCTTGAAAGTGATCAAGTCTGAACCTTCACCCCAACCCTGTTTTACAAATGGAGAAACTGATACCTATAGTGAAGAAGAAACTTGCCCAAGGTAACCCAGCCATCCTATTATGGAGCTTTATACCTAAGACCCCCAGCTCTGCACGCAGCCTCCTTTCTGACAGACCAGGATCTTCACCTGAAAGGGACAACATTCCAATGGGTGAATCACAGTCACCCAGGAAGTTCTTTCCAAACTATATTACATCTTCAGTTGGATCATGTATTTAAAGCCCTTAGCACAGAACATGGTATATAATAAATACCTCATAAATTCTGCCACCATTGTTACTATTAATACAAAACATTTCTTGAAAATCAAATGTAGGCCATCTCCCATTCCCCCTACACTCTCTGTAGCTAACGGAAATGTCTCCTCTCCCCTGTGTGTGTTAGGGCCAACAAAAAAAACCCAAACAGGTGGAGGACAAGTGGGCTAGCGCAGGATTTCCCAGATATGCCTGTTTGTAAGAACGACTTGGGGTTCCCTCATCTGGAGATTTTGGTCAGTAGGTCAGAGCTACTGATCTACTGAGAACCTATAATATTAGTGAGCACCGAGGTGATTCTTATAACCAAGCAAGTTTTGGAAAACACAAGGCTAATCCAGGCCAGCAGAGGTTTTAATATTTTCTGTCCCTGAGTAGGCAGTGGGGTTGAGAGGCCACTAGGGATTATCCACTTGCAGTTAATTAGTGAGTAAACCTGTATCCTGTGCTAATTCCTTACAGTACCTCTCTCTTTTCTAACAAAACGCTAATTCTTGGGCACAGATGGCATCTCAAAAATGTTGCCTGACCTACTTTGGGGAGATGATTTGAGCAAAAAACGCCCTGTCTAGCCTGGGTGACATTAACATCTCTCTTTGGCTCTGTGCTTAGACTGAAGAACCTGGAGCTAGCTGCTGTGGGAGGATCAGACGTCCGTGTGAAGATGCTGGCAGCTCCTATCAATCCATCTGACATAAATATGATCCAAGGTAACCTTGGTTTCTGTGGCTTATGTTAATTGGCTTTTTTGCTCAGCCGCCACCTCATTTTCGTTCCTCCTCAGGTGTGGGTGTGAAATCTCTGTGATTAGCAGCAGCTGTTCTCCAGATGAGCTGACTACAGAGTGTGTCGGCCTCTCTGGCCTCCCTTCTCTGGAACATGAGGCTTTTTGAGAGTTAGGAGGATTGCATTGGGGAATAAACCAACCGTTGTGAAATACCTGCGACATGCTGGGCTCATTTTGTAAGTTGTCTCATCCTCATAATAACCATGAATGCTGAAGAGTATTGTGCCCCTCTACAGTCGAGGAAGCTAAGGCTCAGATGTCAGTTAGGTAGACACTAGTCAAAGGCAGGGCCCAGATCAGACTTAGGTCTCGCTGACTCCAAAGTCCATGCTCTCTCACTGCCCAAGCTTTGTTGGATGATCCTTTACACTCTTCTCCCTCAGGAAACTACGGTCTCCTTCCCAAGCTGCCTGCTGTTGGAGGGAATGAAGGCATTGGACAGGTGGTGGCTGTGGGCAGCAGTGTGACTGGGTTGAAGCCAGGGGACTGGGTGATTCCAGCAAATGCCGGTTTGGGTGAGTTTCTCCAGGTATCAGCAGCCTTCCTGTTTGTCTGGATCCTATTTTATCCACCTTGGAGATGTCCACTTATTGGCTCAGAGAACTAAACATTGCTGCATTTACTTTTAAGTCCATCTACCTACCCCCAGTAGGGGTGGGAGCTGAGCAAGGAGAGCAGAGTTCTGCGTCTTTTGCTCTGGAGGTGATGTACCTGCATCTCATCTCCTTAAGCCCATGTTGATGGAACTTGTAAATCTTGGAATCCCTGTATCCCTAAATCCCTGCTATAGGGTACAGTGGTACTCCAGGAGGTGCAAAGCGCTAAATCAATAACCTCAATAAAGGGAGTGCTACGAGTTGGAATACAGGTACAAGCAGAGGGCACTCTGGCTCCCCTGTGTGTGCATGTGTATGTGTGAGAGAGAGAGAGAGTCTTGGGGAAGGATTAGAAAAGGCTTCATGGAGAAGGCTTCATGAGAATAGACCTTTGGATGAATTTTGTTAAGTGGAGATGAGCCAAAAATCATTTCATGTGGAGGAAGTAAAATGAGCAAAGACACAAAGTTGAGATAGAGAAATGGTGGAAAATCCAGTGTAGCGCCAGCAGAGGATTTGCACATGGGAGAGGATTGCAGGAGTGAGAAAGCTCAGAAAAATAGTTGGGGCCACATGGGGTAAAGCCCTGCAAAAGCCAAGCTAAGGAGTAGGATTTTCTTTGACATATAATAAGGAGTCATTGGTGAGTTTTGCTTTATATAATTTGTATAATGCGTGTGCCTCACAGCAGCCCCAAGAGCAAGGCAGACATTATCCACCCCATTGGACATATGAGGTACTGAAGCCTTTGCCCAGCCTCAAACAGCAAAATGAGAGAGAGCCCACCAGACTCTTGCCTCCTATGTTTTTCCCACTACACTGCAGTGTTAGGACCCTTTGGGATATAACTTACAGAGCCCCAGCTCATATTTGCTTTAAAGGAAGTTAGTTGATTTCTGGAACTGGGAAGTGTAAGAGATTGAGAGCTTCAGGCACAGCTGGATCCTGGAACCCCAATGATAGCAGAGTTCTGTCTCTCTCTATTTCTTACTAGCTCTTAGATGAGATCTCGCCACATAATATAATTAGGGCAGCAAATATTTCTTGACCACGCTCTTCGTGCCAGACACTGTTCTAACACTTTATGTGAATTAACTCAATTATTCCCACAATATGAGGTAGATACGTTATTATTCCCATTTTACAGATTAGACAAAGGATTAAGCAACTTGCCCAGAGTCACCCAGCCAGTAAGTGGCAAAACTAAGATTCAAATCCACTTTAATATATACCTTTCATAGTTGACCACCAGCAACCTGAGGTTTGCATCACCCTGAGAACAAACAAAGGAGCATGTGCTCCACAATCACGTTGAGCACAACCATATCCAACCCCCAGAATGGCCCTGACTAGCCATGCCTGGGTCCTTGCCTGGGTCCTTGCCCATCCATGAACTAATCACCAAGGGAATGGGGTTGTGGGCCACTCTGATTGCCCCGGTTGAGTCTCTTGCCACTTCCATGGTAAAGAGAGAGGGTGAGGCGTTATGGTTGACAGCCCCAGAGGCTACAAAGGAGCACTTCTAGAAAGAAAAAGGTACCAGGAAAGAAAAAATGGTAACAGAAATCTACTACAAGTTCTTTGCCTATCTGAGGTCCAGGAGGTTGCCAAGAATGGTTCCACACTCTCCTACACCCACCTGGCAGTGAAGAGCCCAGACACCTGAGCAGATTGAGAGCCGCAAGGACTCACTAGACACTGATGTCAGTGCTTTGGACCAGCCCCTGTGCTGAGTGAAGGGCACACCATGATGGGTCAGACACAGTTCCTGTCCTCAAAGTGCCCCAGGGCGGGAGGCCCAGGAATGGAAAGACAACATTTAATACAGTGTGGTATAAGTGTGCTGTAATCACAGGATGGACACAAAGGCAAGAGTTCCCCATTTTGAGAAGCATTAGGAAAGGTTTCCCAGAGAAGGGCTGTTGAACTTGGTCTAGAAAACCGACTATTAAGTACAGCCAGTGGACTAGGTTGGGAGGGGCTTCGCAGGCAGGGAGTGCAGCATGTGCAAAGGTAAGATGAAGAGAGAAGGCACAGCACCATCAGCACTGCAGCCAGCTCAGTGGGGCTGGGTCATGGGTAAGAGTGTGAGAGAAGTGAGATGAAGCTGGAGCAGTAAACTGCGGCTGGGTCGTGGGGGGCCTGCGTCTACAATCAGAGAGGTCCTGATGGAGAGAGTTAAGTAGAGGAATGACTTGATCAGATTTTTCCAGTGCTGAGAATGGTCTGGAAAGGCAGAGGGTAGAGGCAGGAAGCCAGTGAGGAGATGGACAAACATGTCAGACTTCAGATGATGAGAGTCTGAACAAGACAGCGCCATGGGACTGGAGAAGAGGGGGTAGATTCAAGAGCTAAAATAACAGGACTTGGGAATACTTTAGAATTGGAGAGGAGCATACGGGATGTCTGCCAGGTGCACAGGTATTTGCATGTGTGGTGGTGTTAGCCAGAATAGGGCTTTCTCCCTGGAGAAAAGGTGAGTCTTTTAAGGAAGGTGCCAGTCAGAGAGGATGAGGATTTTATAATTGTGAGGGCTATAATTAACTCAGTTTATTCAGTAAACATTTTGTGTACATCTACAATGTGCTGCGCTGTAGGATACAGCAGCAAACAGACAAGGTCTTTCTTTTTTTTTTTTGGCGGCTGGCCAGTACAGGGATCCAAACACTTGACCTTGGTGTTACAACACTACACTCTAACCAACGGAGCTAACCGGCCAGCCCCAGACATGACCTTTCTTCTCATGAAGATCAGTTTAGTAAGAGTAGCAATCATTAAACACGCAAGTCTCTCCTGACCAGATCTTGGTAATTTTTCATGATACTGAGCTGCCCAGTTCTTGCTGTGCCCACAGTCAGCTTTTTCCAACATGCAACCAGTCCCAGAAGAGCACTGGGCCAGTGTGGATAGGTCTTTGTCAGCTGACTTTCTCACTTGAGAAACACTCAAAACCCTCCTGAGGCAGCACAGAGCAGTGGAAATAGATGGCCTGGGAATCAGCACAGGTTTCCTTCCAGCTCTGCTGCACGACCTTGTTTAAGTCACAGCTACTCTGAGTGTCAGTTTTCTCATCTCTAAAGTGGATCTAATAGTTGCTGCCTTGCATATCTCAAAAGATTCATATGCAGTTCAACTGAGGGAATACACACAACACACTAGAAAAACAACACTTAATACAGTGCAGTATAAGTACTATAATCGCAGGATGGGCACAAAGGCAAGAGTTCCCTATCTTGGGAAGCATTAGGAAAGGCTCCAAGAGAAGGGATGCTTGAACTTGGTCTGGAAGTCCAACTACTGCAGAGGAACCTTTTAACTTCTCAACTTCTTTGCAAATGATAAACTTCTGTTTGTATTAGATCAGGAATTGGCAAACGTTTCTCTTAAAGGGCCAAATGCTAAATATTCCAGGCTTTGCAGGCCATACCTTCTCTGTTGTGACTATTCAACTCTGCTGTTGTAAATAATGTAAATTGCCATAGACAATACATAAACAAGTGAGTGTGGCTATGTTCCAATAAAACATTATTTATAAAAACAAGTGGTGAGGCAGATTTGTTCCATGGGCCGTAGTTTACCAACCCCCACATTAGATGATGGAGATGGTTAAGGGTCAATTGCACATGAGTGAGGAAGAGAAATTCTCAGAGCTAGGGCCTGGGAATTAGGATCAGTAAAGTAAACCAATGTGTATTACACACCTGCTATGTACTAGGCACAGTGATAGTCTCTGTACAAATGTCATTTCATTTAATCTTCACACTATGATGTAAGTGTTATTCTCTGCATTTCATAGATCATGAAAACTGAAACTCAAAAAAGGGTAAGTGATAATTTGAAGTCACACAACTAGCGAGTGGTATGGCTGGGGTTTTTAAGCAGGTCTCTCTACTCCAAAGCCTAAGGGTTTCTACTTTAAATCCTGAAAGCCCTTGTTGCTGACCATGGGCACTACCCCCATCCCACTCAGTCTCTCTTGAGAAGAGGATTAGGGACTGCTAAGCCCCAGAAATCCATGTCAAGGGCTGGATTTCCATTGTCATACCATAAGGGGAATTAGAAAACACCCTTGATTTCATGCATAGAAAGCCCTACACTAAGCATTTGGGTTAGAATAGAGTACAGTAAACGTTAGCTAAGATGAGTGGGAGTAAGGATTATGAACATTTGAAAACCAGGCTGGGTGAAGCCCAGAGAATGCCAAGGAGAAGGGCACACCAAGATGGATCAGACACAGACACAGTTCCCATCCTTGAAGTGCCCTTGGTTGGGGGTGGGAGGCACAGGAATGGAAAAACAATACTTAATACAGTGCAGTATAATAAATGCTGTAATCACAGGATGGGCACAAAGGCAAGAGTTCCCTATCTTGGGAAGCATTAGGAAAGGCTCCAAGAGAAGGGATGCTTGAACTTGGTCTGGAAGTCCAACTACTGCAGAGGAATCCTTCAACTTCTCAGTCTCTTATTTTCTCAGGGACAGACCTACCCTGGGATTAACACAGCCTTTAAATAGTGTTCCTGCCTCCCCTCCACAGTTCCTGGTCCCTAAAGCCCACGTTTTCTCCCCTCTCCTGTAGCACAATGAGTAAGTGCCCAGGCTGCTCTCTACTTCCCACAGCTGGACCACATGGTACCAGGATCCTGTTAGAATCCCAGCAACTGGATAGTGATTGGGCACACCCGAGAGCTGTGGAAGTGATGTCAAGGGCCCCAGAGACATCACAGCCACCAGACACTGAGGCTCCAGTTAATTTTCCTAAGGTGATGTAGTGGAGCCAGGGCTCAAGGATGGCTGTCTGATTCCAGGGCCTCCCCTTCACCTCTTCCTCGTACAGGTTCCTGCTGGCATGAGTGAGGACCTGTCCCCTCACCAGTCCTCATCAAGTCCTGATGATTCCATCTTCAAAACAGAACTCGAATCCATCTTCTCTTCTTCATTGCCACTACAAAGTCTTGGTCTAAGCAGCCATCATCTCATACCTCGACCCCTGCCAAAGCCTCCTTTTGGCCTCCCCACTTCCGTCCCACAATCTTTTCCACCCACCAACAAAGTGATCTTTTTTTTTTTTTTTTTTTTTTTTTTTTTTTA